ACATTTCGCGCCTATAATTCGCACAGCAAAATCCACCTTGTTGTTTTTTGGGGAAAGGAACGTTTTTTTTTCTAGTTTTCGGTCAGTGTTTCATGCCTTCTTGGCGTGCAGCTGCGCATCGCTGGCAAGCTGGCTGCGCACTTCGAAATCAATACGACCCTCCGACTCGAGTAGCGCGCTCTCATCGCTTCACTAATGCGCTCACGCACTTGAAATTGGTCTGCCATCCTTCTTTTTTTACAACGGAGGTGATCATTTTAAAGTTGCCTTGGTGCTACTGAGCGTCTGCAGCCCACACAGATGTCTGCATGAAGACTAGCAGTCAGCTGCTTGAGGAGTGTTTGTCGACAAAGACATGGCCACCGCGATGGCCATGTCTGGTGTATTTGCCAGCGACAACGGCATTCCCGGACTGTACAACCGAGAGTCAACGACCGACTGCCTGGTAACGGGCAGGGGGGGGGGGGCGGGCTGTAGGCGCTCAGCCGTAAAGTAAAGCGACTATGTTCACGTCCTTCTTGCGACCAGAATGGAGTGGTGCGTGTCACTTCTAGGCGACCGTCGTGTTCTAGGAACCGAACCTCCTACACTGCGGGACCGATCTCATCAAATGTTGGCCGAAATTCTGAAATGCGTTTTCGATTAGGAAGGATTACTTAGGTGGGGTTGTGATATTCCTAAGTATGCAGCATAAGCCTATAGCATCTCGAACTAACCAGGATGTCGGCTTTTGGACGCACTCCTTTTTGACCTCTGCAGAAACCACACTTTGTAAAAAATGACTGCCTAAATATAATGCACTTTCCCTATTGATTTTCGATGGCCTTGTAAATTCAGATGTATTTTATAGAAAACATGCACAAAAGTATGCTTTCTTTTGCTCATTTTGTAGGAAATCACATTGCCTTCATGTTTTATGCCCGAAGAAAGCGTATATTTTGGTTTTAAAAGAATTTTTTAATTCCCGCATAATTTTAAGCCTGAGCTGCCATTGCATTAGCATTTGGCGATTACAGTCTACGAGGTGCATGCTTTCCGCGTAGGGAAAACCACATATTCCTCTATGCCTTTAATAAGGTACCACATAGAGTTCCTAAAATTTAACAATGGAACCGGACTGCGTTGTGCATTGGTAAACGGACGTGTGCGATCCTGTATGCATGGTCATCGTACGCTTTTAAGAATCTGATAATTATAAACTTTTCACAACCTAAATATACACTTTCTTCGGGTACAAAATATCAAGACATCACGATTTTATACCAAAGGAGCAAAAGAAAGCATATTTTTGTGCATGCTTTCTATAAAATATATTTGAATGTACAAAACTATCGAAAATCAATAGGAAAAATGCATGCTACTTTAGGCAGCCACTTTTTACCGAGTACGGTTTCTGCAAGAGGTCAAAAAGGAGTGCATCCAAAAGCCGACATGTTGGTGAGTTCGAAATGCTATAGGCTTATTCAGCATACTTATTATTATTACAACCCCACCTGAGTAATCCTTCCTAATCGAAGACGCGTTTCAGAATTTCGGCCAGCATTTCATGAGATCGGTCACGCACTGTACGCACACACATACTGCCGTCATGGCTCACCTGTCACGCACTGACAAGTCACGCTCAAACTTCTGAGGCAAGCCCTACAGCTAGCGGTCACATGCACGCATGGTCCGGGTTTTTCCCATTTTTACGGTGCATACATCAGGCAGTGCTGAAATAAATGTCTATGACTGCGCACCTTGAGTATCGCCTTCGCGTCAGATCGTCTTTAGTCACGCCTATCGTTGCCGTGCGGGAAATTGTCTCTCTGTACACGATAGTAGTCTAGTTATACACTGCTGTTGTTGGTGGGTGCTCTCTTACTCCTCTCGATGCTATTGGTCCCTGGCAAGGCCACGTGGGCCAAAGCTCTCCAGTCGCTCAAAAACGCCTCAAGCTCTGACTTGCCGGAGGCCGTTTCCGCGGGGCAGCCCAATGTGGGGACATTGTTGCCTTTTGATCCGAGATTGGAACTTAGACGTCTTCAGCGACCCTTCAGAACAGTAATTTAAGGTTGTATGGTTGCGTACGACGACGGCGTCGGCTGAAGTCTTTATGGTAGTTGTGGACAGTCTGAGCGTTACTGACGACGGTAACCACCGTGTGTTCCATACCAACGTGGCTCGAAGACGGTACCCGGTGTTTCAATTTGTTTTTAGTAGTCTCAGACTTGCACAGCATCTATCACATTCGCTCCTCCCCCACCCATTTGAGCCTGGTGGCAAAACGGACTGAAGATGGGGGTGGGATCGGTTGCAGTGTCCAACAAAGCTTGGCATACCGTTTACGTGTGTCACGTACGCCTGGTCCGCCCATGACAGACCAGCTTTTTATGGCAACAAGAAGGGGTCAGCTCAAATTCAGACTGAGTGAGAATGCCATAGAGACCGCAGTAAGGAGGAGCCGTCTCAGCCTGAGTATCAGTAGTGAGAACTACTTCGTCCCGTCAGTAAGCAACCGTTCATGCCATGAATTTTAGCGTGTCGTGATAATTTGAAACGTCAGATTGTTCGTACCGAGGAAATGCGCCGAGATGCCATGGATACGGAGTGCCCAGAGTCGACGTCACTCTGCTCCCTCACATATGCTCCAGTCTACTGTCCGCGCCTGTCAGCCATCTGAAATCGGGCAAAAGTGACTGGCGCAGCCTAAAAACTACGCCCGATCGTACCATGAGACTGCCCATCTCTAGCATTAATGTAATAACGTTGTGACTGGGAGTTCTTTTATATGTAAACTTTTGCCGCGCCTATCTTTTACTCCGCTACAGCCTTCCTGTCCGAAGGCCGCTTCACCATCTACCGTCTGTGGGCGCACAAATGCTTAAATGAAGCATCGCTGTTCAAAACGAGCGAAAAGTTAGGTTGGCTTCCAGCTGTTTGTCATTCTGTCTTGGCCTCATTCGAGTACGCCTGCGCGTAGTCAGTACGTGGTGTCATTTGCTATCAGCAAGGCATCATTGAGTGGAATGGGAACATGCCTGCTCACCGCAAGAACCTCACGAATCTGCTTGTCGCTGGGCCTAAGTTAGAAGAGACCGTCTAAGTAGCCATTTCCCTGACACCTTATTTGTACGTAAGCAGCGTATTTTACACTAAAGTGTTTGTTACCGAACCTAAAGACAAAGATAGCCTAGTTGTCGTAGCGGGCGTTTCGCCGTTCCCCGAGATCCTCATCTCGGGCTCTGCGGTGCGTGTTGTCCGCTGCAGTTCCCTCATGGCCTAACGCTCCAACTGCCGTAGATTTCCAGTGAGCAGGGCTTGGGTCGGCGGAAGCTACCAGTAGTTCTTGTTATATTGTTGGATTTCTACAGCTGAGGGTTTCTGTGGTCGGGTTACTGTCTATGTTCGTGCTACTGCTGCTGCTGCTGCTGCTGCTGCTGCTGCTGCTGCTGCTGCTGCTGCTTGTAGCAGACCTCTTCTAGACTATGTCTTAACACCAGGCTCAGGTGGGGGAGGAGGACATATTGCGGTAGGCGCATCGCAAGTCTACAATCATTATAAAAGAATCACGCGCATGTCACCATGCCTGCTCTCACCTTGCTGTGGAGCACACGGTGAGTATCGTCGGCGACGACGGTCGAACTGTCAGTAGCCTCCCGCATATCTTTTCTTCCGCGATTCACCTTTTTGCGGTACACGTCATGTGGGACTTACTAGACCTCAGGAACTTCCCACATCAGCTCACTGATTCCGCACCTCTGGGTGAGAACTTGAGCATCTCTTTGGCTTTGCACTCTGGCTCTCACCGTAGTATTTCAGAGTCCAGTCGTTGCACTTTATCCTCGGTTACGCGCCTCTGCAGTCGTTCGCATTACAGGGACTGCAGCGAACTCCAAAGCGGACATGGAATTGTGCATTCCGGGGTATGCCTCGATCTAGTACTTTTCAGCCAGAAAACTTCTTTTCAAATATTCAAAGGTTGTAAAAGATCGTCATTCCATCGAGCAGACACCTCGAACTGAATGCTTGACACCCTGGCCGTGCTATTTCTCGGTCATGTGATATCTGCCCGAAGTCTACTGAATTTTTGAAATTCCGAAGAGTTACCTAATTAACACCGGTGCTGTTTTGACTGTGTCCGGCAGTGATGAGTGTTTGCCGCTTGTATTTCCGATAGCCTTAATTTCTGAGCCACGCCACCGGGCTCATGGGCAACTTCATGCATCTGCCACCTATAGACTGTTTTCTCTTTTGCAGAGACCTCTTGCACCGACGTGCCTACAAGTACAGCCGAGTATACTCACGGGTAAGGTCATTGCGGTCGTCCTTAGGCGATCGTTTTTTGCCTCCTTCATTTTTATCTTTCCTTGCATCCCATGCCCATTCATGTACGCTGGTAACTGTGTCAAGCTCCCTCTTTTTCCTGTTACTGCCATCCTCCATTTCGAAGTACGGCTAGTTTGCGTATAGGTTGTCTGCGCCCGAGTGTAGCCGCTATGTAGCACGCGGCAGCCCTTGTGTCAGGCGTGACACATAAGCTCGTAAAACACTGGTCGAAATCTATTCGGATGCTTCCAAGTTTAAGTGCGGTTTTGGGTGTTGTGAGTGCAGTACTGGTTATCCCAGTACATCACGCGAAGTTTGTACATGCACGCCAACGGGTTGGGTTTTCAATGAGACGTCTTTCGCCTGCCAGTCGAAACCACCGCGGTTTTCTCCTCGCGTTCCAATTTTGAAACGATATGATACATTTTTGCTTCATGTGTCCCCAAGACCTCGCTTGGATAATGTCGTGTGTTTGTTAACAGTGCACCTGAAGTCCGAAGTCCGAAACATTTTCTTCTGCAAAAAAATCTCAGCGGAGACATTTCCCTAAAGCAACTTTAAGGGTGCCGGTCTGTCCTCGATATATCCGAAAGAACGACTTTCATGAATTTATCCTAGAAGCAGTAGGTTCCCAGCTCATCGTAGTTATGAAGCCTGCGGATCCTACGCAACTACGAATAATGCGTTTTTTAACGATCGCATCCTTTTCATCTGAATGTCAATCAACTCTTAATGGGTTTCGGCACCCACTAAGTACGTGTCTGTCCTCTAGGAGCGGCAGTCTCCATCCATGGCCTTTCAGCTTTTCCCTGACTCCCCCTCTCCCTCTTTCTTCGAAAGCTCTTTTGGACTTTTAATGGATTTCTGGTTTGCCTACTCACCCTGACGCGTCTGGCTCGCCACGCCTCGTTCTCTATTTTGTAAGCACGTTGCGCAATCACTCCCCTCCTCAGGCTCCAAAAGCTTCTTATCGCACTAATCTGTCCACCACGGGGTGCCGCCACTTTATCCTCACTAGCGGCTTCCGAGTTGAGCTCGCTTTCTCTTGTTCCCCGCTCTTGCGCACCCTACTCTACCGGATGGTCGGAGTGTGCCTGCTGTCAAGGTAAGGGGTGCACTTCGCTCGATACTTAGTCCCACCATATGCTGTGCTGGCCATTCGACTGTTTCCACATCTGTCACTCAGCCAGCCTTTATAACCACAAAAGGATTGTGAGTGTCTGCTCTGCCATGGTTCAGCAAAGCATGGCCCTCGCAGCCTAGGCACCTGGTTCTCTGCTGGTAGATGCGCTTGCGCACCTGTTGGGTATACAGGTCGTGTGCATGGTTGCCTAGTCGTCCTCGTCGTCTTTCCTGCCCGTTGCGGTGCTGTTGTCGTTGGTTTAAATCCCGGCCAAGCATTTGTTTTGGGCCAGGCGGTGTGGTGGCACTCCTAGGCGCGGTTCTGTCCACGCCAACCACCTGCGCTCACTCCCGCCTCCGGTCTTCTTGACTATGTCTTAACGTCGAGTCCAGGTGGGAGGAGATAGTGCGGTAGGCGCTGTGCACATCTACCCCCCCCCTCATACACTAATTGCCGTGCCAGTTACCGCGCCTGTCTCACCTTCATGTGGAACAAACAGTGGACATCCACACGACGGTCATCGCTATTTCAATGATTTGGACTGTCTACGCGGCTTATAATTCCTCAGAACTCACAGTCCACTGCAAATTTCCTAACAAAATAACGATCAGTCGAAATGGAAAGGGCATCTTTGATTGGTTGCACTTGAAAAAGATGCGCTGATCTGAAAATATGAACTACCTGAGGTAGCACATAGGCTCTGATTGCTCACTCCTTCCAAAAAGGTTTGCACTGCTCTGCAATGGCAGAACTCTCTAAATTGCTTCAGATTCGCATCACGTCACCATGGAAAAGTTGTTTGTGGGCTACCGGAGAAGTTATCCCCCCAAGGAAGTTAACATCTTCCAAAAATTATGATCATCTGAAAATGGCCCTTGCCTGACAGTGGGCCACAATCCGCGAAAGCCGCCCTTCGAGCTGGCATCACTATAGAGGGAGTCACGCGCAAGTCACCGTGCCTGCTGCCACCTTGCTGTGAAGCACACGGTAGACAACGTGGGCAACGGCGGTCTTGCTACCATGACCGCGAAACCGATTTTAATGATGGCTAGGGCAGCTGACGTTCCTCCTCTAGCGAAGCTGTCATGTGTGTGGACACGCGTGCCCTCGCGGGGCCTGGTCCTGTAGGCAGAGATTTTAGCCAGCCGTGTTTTGTCCCTCGTAAAGCGGGCCTCTCAGGGAGATCAGCCACCGCGACCTGTCTCGTTTTCCCCTCCCACGCCGTCATGACGTAGTCTGACTACGACGTGTAAGTGCGCAGAGATTGGTGTCAGTGCCCTGCGTCAGACAAGTAGGTAGTGGTCTTGGAAATACCCGGCGCTCGCCGCATGAGCCCAGACTGCGGTAAATGCTGCGCAAGTTACGAATGCTGCTCCCACCACTTCGGGGGACACGCGTTGAGCGTCATCGCCCACGACGGTCGAACTGTCAAGCCGCTGAAGCACTCGGTGTTCCAGTAGCGCGCTCATCCCAGTAAACGTCAGTAAGGCTACATTCGACGTCTCCTGTCACTGCACCCAGTTTGCCGGAAAAGCAAAGCTTTATTACATAGCCCGCTTGCTCTAAAGGTCATCGAAAAGCATCCAATCCTGCAGCCAGCCAGGAAGGTTCTCAACCGACAACCAGCAGGAGGCCTTTTTACATATTTGTCGTTAGACCTCACCTAGGGAAGTATTTTCTCCTTTATTGAGTGATGTCACTCATTCTTTATCGTCTGGGGATACTGCCAACGCCTCATGCACTCGGTTAATGAACACGAAGATGTAGAAAGTGCATCCGCCTGCACTTATTTTTTTTAAAAAAACAGTTATGATGGACTTATCTGCGCATTTCTTCACGTTAACTCCCGCTGTCACTCAGCATTTTTGGAATAAACAGTTTTTGCGGTTGGGCACCTAACAATCGCCCGGATTGTTTACGAGGTATTTTCACTACGCCGTCAGTTACGGCGCAAATTAGCTTGCCTCTGCATAAATTGCCTAGTTTTATTGTAATTTTTTTTCGTCGAGCCTCTTATCAGCTGACCAGGAGAGGTCGTGAGACTTAATGAGGTCAGATGGGCTTATATTTTGGTGACGTCATTTTTTCCGCACACATGCGCAATGTGGTAGCGGTTGGTCCAGGAAGAGATGCGCAGGTGGGTGATGAAGAGTGTGTGTGTGCGTGTGTGTGCATGTGTGAAATGGTTCAGGTTCACGTGAGAGCCTCGTTCACGAATCTAGCCCGACTGCGGATGTCAGCAGATTTCGAACTCGGGATCAGTCGGTCATCGAACTTATGCTCTACCGTTTGGCTGCGAAATTACAGTCAGCGAACGATCTCATGAAATGTTAACCGAAATTCTGAAATCTACTTTTGGTAAGGGAGAATTGCTTAGGTGGAATTACAAAGTGGTTACCGTACAGCATAGTAGTAATAGTAGTAGCATTGGTAGTAGTGGTAGTAGTAGCAGTAGTAGTAGTAGTAGTAGTAGTAGTAGTAGTAGTAGCAGTAGTAGTAGTAGTAGTAGTAGTAGTCGTAGTAGTAGCAGCAGTAATAGTAGTAGTAGTAGTAGCAGTAGTAGTAGTAGTAGTAGTAGTAGTTAGTAGTAGCAGCAGTAAAAGCAGCAGCAACAACAGATGTAAGTGAAGCAATGTTAGCGTAAGGGAAGGATTATACTTTGCTTGACTAATTCACAAGCGAAGCACTTGGTCCAGTCAAATGAATGGGAGGTTTGTGGAAGTGCACTTGAAATGTCCTCAAGAGCATTGTGGATTCTTGCGGAGTTCGCCCTTCACAGAGTGTCCTTTTTTATTTACTCAAATATGTAGATCTATAACCTACCTGCCCCTCCCTCACCTTCAGATCGCTGTACTTTTTTGATTTCATGTTTAGTTTAATTTCAAGGGCTCAACCTATCGAACTTACTTGCTTGAATGGAACCCAGTAGAAGGTGTCTCATCCACCTGCTTCCGTCATTATGCTTCTTGCTAGGATTTGTCCGTTTTTGCTGATGATTACTGATGTCCTCTTTCTAACCATCCCTGCGTTTTCCTTTCTTAAGGATGCCTACACTGTCGTGGTACATACCTCTGTTTGCCACAGTGTTTGTGTGTTCTTGTGGTTTTGTTGTGCCTTTTGGACTGCACCGCTAGCTTTCTGCATGCCCTCCCCGCCCCTGCGCTACGCCTTCAACCATTGCGCCGCCCCTTTCGCCTGCCTCCCCCCCCCCTTTCCCTCATTTTTCGGCACTTTCGTTCTTCCAGTTGGAAGAGTTTAGTTCGCTTTGAAGTGTCCACCTAGTAGAACCTCTTGTGTCCTCCATTCAAGTACGTGCGCACCGGTTCATTGTCTTTCAAAAGGAGATTGGCTCCAAATTGGAGGTGTTGAACTTTTTCGGGCATATTTTACCTCCTCATCTGGCCAATCATAACCCTGACCACCAGCAGCTGGGACCAGAAACACAAACCTGCGCACAGACACACCTGGCGCAGTTGGTCTACCACTAGGGTCTACCAGATGGGTCATAAGCACTTCATCGAACCGAACTTCACCAGTGCCTCGCTACCTGTCATTCTCTGTCGTTGCAGATCAGGTATTTATTCACTCAGGAATGGGCGCACACTGAGCCATTGGCCTCCCGAAGCAAACCTCGTATGGGCGATAGGGGTCACGAACAGGCAACCACCTACCAAGCCAAATTCGATCAAGCTATGA